GGGCGCAGCGCAGCTGGTCCTTCACCAGCGTCTTGGCCCCACTCTGCATCTTCTCCAGCTTCGGGCCCAGATCGGTCCGACCCATGGAATCCACCTCCTTCTCGATCTTCAGGGGCGCCGCCGCCCCCGCCGTCGCGGCTCCGAACAGCCGCCGCGATAGCGCCGACGGCCCGAACAGCTGGCCGCGCTCGACGGTCGACGCGCGGGGGTCGCGGCCCCGCGCCGCTGGGCGGCGCGGCCCTCGACGCGGGCCGACCGCCCCGCGCGAGCGGCGCCTCGCCACGCGCGTGCGCCGCGCCCCTCGGCGCCAGCGTCGCCATCCGCTCCCGGCCGCCGTCCGTCGGCCCCTCGCGATCGCGAGCGCAGTCAGCAGTCCGCCAGCTCGCTCTTGTTTTCGAGGCCCAGAGGAGGCAGCGGTCGACGCGCTCAACGCCGCCGAGCCCGGGGCCCCGGGCGCAGGATACCCCGGCGGGCCCGTCGAGCGAGGCCCCAGACGAGGCGCCCACGCTCGCGATCGCCCCACCCCCCTCTTGGGGCGCCCTCCGCCTAGCCTTCGCGCCTGCCCCCATCAGCCGGTCGACCTGCACCTCGAGGCTGAGGCGCCGCGCCCGCGGAATCTCCAGCACCTCCGCCGCGCCCTCCAGCGCGCCCCTGGGAACGCGCATCAGCTGGTCCCGGTCGCAGTGCAGCGGGCGGCTCTCCAACTCGGGCGACAATGTCGGATTTGGCTTTTGTCGTTCTCTCCAAATAGAGCCTCGCGATCGCGTTCCTCGGCGAGTCGAGCTATTCGTGCAATCCTCGCCCAGGAGGCCTTCAATCCGCCGCGGCCCCTCGATCGGGTCGCCCGCGCCCGAGCAGATCTTCTCACGGGCCCTGACCAGCTTGCAAGCCGGCCCTCGCGATTCGAGGTCTCGAGCGCAATCGAGTCGTCGCCCTGGCGCCCCCGCATCTCCAGACCTGAGACGTCGAGCTCGCGATCGGGCACGCCCCAGTCACCTGGGTCTTCCGGCGCGGCCCCCGCCTCCTCATCATTGGTCTGCTTCGCGAGCGGCCATCTCGGACCTCGCTGTCGCCGGGGCCCCCTCGGTCTGCCATCGAACCCTGAACGTCGCGTCGGTCGCCGCCGAGGGCCCCGCCGAGGGCTTCCAGCCATCTTTCGGGAAGATCGGCGCACAGTCGTGACCGCCGCCCTTCTCGTTCAAGCGCCTCGACGCAATGCCCAGCCACTCCGACTTGAGCGAGTCATCCTCGAAGTTGACGTCGGCGCCCATCGCTCACGGCGCATCCTTGCCAATCGGCAGCTGCAGCGCCGAGCCCTCGACGACCGAGACCGCCAGGTAGGAGTCGACCCCGGCATCTGACGCCAGGGCCGCCCAGCGCTCCTTGGATATCTGCTTCTGACCGCTGCTGAACCGAAAAACGGCGAGCTGGGGTTCCTTCTTGACGCGGCGGTCGATGCCCAGCTCCTGACAGCGGCCCTCGACCCTCGCGGCGCAGGCGTCGCCCGAGACGGCGCCGCTGCACGCCGCGCCCAGGGCGCCGTCGTCACCTCGCCCACCGATTGATACTGATGACAGCAGGACCTCCTCAACTCCTGCCTCGTCGACATCGCCGCCCTCGTCGCCAACTTCCGCCCTCGCCAGGGCCTCGAACACCCCCGGCCCCATCGCCGCCGCCACCTCGTTGCCCTCCTCTGCGTCCGGCAGGTCGACCACCAGCGCGTCGCGCGGCTTGACTCTCTGTTGCAGCCTCTTCTTGGCATGCCTGGCCCCCCCCTCCTCAACTTCGGGCAGCTGGCATCTCCCGCCCAATGGCCTGTCTGACCACAGGCGCGGCACTCCGAGTTCTTCTTGTCTGGCGAGCTGCTGCTCTTGCCGAGCCCGTTCGTGCACATCATGCCGCTGCTTGAACTGCTCGCTCCTGAGCCTCTGCCGCCGCTCTGGCCAAACTTGCGATATTTACGCAACTCCTTCACCCGCTTCTTGCCCTCGCGCACCGTGATGAGAGCCCCCATCATCGACTCCGCGCCGCTCGCCAGGTCCCCGAGCTCCGGGGCCAGCTCGGGGTCGTGCTCCGCCTCCTCGAGCGCCGTCGAGAGCGCCTCCAGCTCCGCGGCGAGGATGCTCTCGATGTCCTGGACCTGGTCCGTCGTCAACGCCTCCTCGACCGTCTCGTCATCGGCGTCGCCGTCGATGCTGCCCAGCTCCGCGCTCAGGACTTCGAGCTCGCACTCGTCGAGCTGGCGCAGTCCGTCGGCATCCTCCGTCACGTTGGCCCCCCTGAATTTCCGAATCACTTTCTTCTTCAGTAGCGTCGTCCCCGGCTTGTTGAAAGTGACCGGCCTTCGTCGCTCGAACGGGTCGTTTCGCCTCATTCATGCGCAAGATGGGGAACACTCGCAAAATGGCCGACACCACTTCACGCATCTCCATGCCGCCACCGGTCGAGGTCATCGACATACGTTTCTGCTTGTCCGTCAAGCCCGTCCTCTCGATGAGCCACCAGCCTGCCGTCCGAGCCGCCGGCAGCGCTACATCTTCCTCGTCCGACTGGTTGCGAGCTTCTCCGAATCTGATCATCCACGCGTTCAAATTCTCGCCAGCCCTTCGGCGCAGCTGTTTGTAAAAGTACGTCATTACCTGGCCTCTGCGAGTCGGCTCGTCCACGCGCATCGTCGCCAGCACCTCCATGAGCCTGTTGATGCCCGCCATGGCGCCAGGCTCCTCCCGATGGACGCGCCATGCCTCGTTTTTCTCCATGCCGTCATCAGGGCCTCCTCCGCATCGCCGCCGTCGGGCACCCACGTCCACGGGTTCGCGCACAACTCCAACATCAAAATCAATTCACCGACCGTCTTCGCCAGGCCCGTCAGGCACCGTACCATCCAGGCCGCCCAGCTCCAACTCACGTCCAGGCTGATGCCCTCTATCCAGAGAGCCACATTCTTCTTGTAGCGCCGCCACCTCGCCGCCGAGCCGTCCCACGTCGGGATGCCCTCCAGGTCGCGGTTCGTCCACTGCGGCCCCATCGTCCACGAAGTGGTCGAATACCTACCGTCCACACCACTCTCGTGAACCTCCTTATCCATCCCGTCGAGGAAACGACTCGGGGCTGAGGACTCCTCCGCCCGTGGCTGGCCGCCGCCACGACGTCGCGCTCGATGCTGGTTGCATCCGAGCTTCCGTGTACACGCATTTCTCTCTGCTGTCGCTCAGCTGCTGTTCGCTTGAACTCCAACCTCGTCGATCTTGATCACCCTGCTGCTATGGCGATCGCACGCGTGCCTGCTCCGCTACCACTGCGGAGCCGGGTAGCCTCCGCCGGCCTACCTCCCGGCCCGCAGCGACAGCGGGGACGGCGGCGGATCCTGGCAGGGATCCGCGCCCTGTCTCCCGGACCACCATTCCAGTGGCCAAGTTGTTGCAAACCAACTCAAGCCGAGCCGGCAGCAGCAGGCGAGAGCGGGGAAAAACAGAGAGAGAGAGAGAGAGAAAAAAAAAAAAAAAAGAGAGAGAGAGAGAGAGAGAGCGCAAGAAAAGCAGACATGGTGGGTATTGAGATGGGGCAGGGGAGATTATCCATGAGTCCGCATTCTTACGACATGAGCCTCGTGCCAGGAACCGCTCGCGCCCTGCGTGATCCCGAGGCCTACGAGACTCTGCGTGAGCGACGATCAGAAGCGGGTCCTGCGCGAGAGGACAGAGCGATCTCACGCGGTGGCTCACGCGGGCCGCCGGCGCAGCATGACACGTCCGAAGCGAAGGCGCTTTCCGCGCGACCTTACGCGAGCAGCTCACGCGCGAATGTCGGCGCCACTGGACCTGTTTCCGCTGTGTCGATCACGTGCAGGCGGCTTCCTCTCGCTCCCGAATGATGGCGCGGCTTGAGGGGGGGGCACGGACAGCCCCCGAAGGCGGCTGGGGGCTGCCCACAGCAGGCCCAGTGCCACACCCCCAGACTTACGTCGGGCGTGTCCCCCTACAGGGGGATTTTGGACGAAACATAAAACATCACAAAATATGAAAAACCAGCCTAGAAATGCTACAAGAACAATCCCTTGACTACTTTTTACTATTTTCGAGAATTCCTCCTGCAGAGGGACAGGTCCGACTTAACCCCTGACCTCAGGGCGCTCCGAGCCCCGGGGGGAGCGATGGGGGCGGAGGCGACGTGGGGGTGCTGAGGCCGCCCCAGAGGCCACCCTGGGGGCCCGCTGAGGCCAGCGAGGACGACCTCTGGGGCTGCCTCTGCGCATCCCCAAACCCTGCCGCCATAGACCCCCTCTTGTGAAAGATGAGAGAACCATGAACGCAAACTTCTCGGAAGTCCTCATGGAGCTCTTGCGCTGGCACTGGACCCCCCCCTGGCGGCGCCTCGGGCGCCTCCCCTGGCACGCCCCGCGCGCCAGGAAATGGGGCCCAGCGCCGTTCCGAGAAATCCGCGCAGAACTCCGCGAAAGTTTGTGCTTATGCCGCTGTGTCCTCCGATCATCAGCTCCAGAGCAGACCCCTCGCCGAGCAGGAGGGCCTCTGAGAGGCAGGGCGGCTCCCTGGAACGCGCGCCCACCCACCCACCCCCAGGTCCCGCACCCAACCAAAGCACTTTCAAAACGGACCACGATTTGGACGCCCGAAATGGGCACGGAAAGAATGGGCACAATGCCCAACAGCAAATGTTGTCCCGAACCAATAAGGGGCCGCTGTTTGGCAGGCGGCCTTCTGTCTCAAATGGACACAAGCCGCGGCGACGCCGACAGCGAATCCTATCCAAAATGAACAAGAACTGCTGTCGGTCTTTGTACAAATTCTTTTCGTACCCATGTCGGTCGTCCCGACACGAGACCACTTCTGGGGCCCCATCCTAGCCGGTCCTTCGAGCTGCGCCCAGCCGCGGCAGCCAGGGCGCCCCGGGAGGCTCACAAAAAGGCCGCGAGCGTCCAAACACAGCTCCTCGAGCCTCGAGCCACAGGCCCGCCCTCCCATCTGGCCCGCCGCCCACACCTTCAGGTCCGACACCGGCCTCCCGGCCGTGGGGGCCTCGCGGACCAGCCACAACTGGGGCAGCTGTACCCCTGCACCGCCCTGGGGGGGGGGAGCCACCAGATCGACACGCCATCCAGCGTAGTGTCGAGCCCGATGGGTCTCACGGGGAGCTCTGGGGTCCGCAAGAAGGCACTCACACCACCACCACCACCAATGCCTGGCCAGGCCCATCCTGGGCCCTGGGAAGGTATGCTGATCTCCTGGCCTCGGCCAAGATGGAGTACGCACCACCCCGGGGCGCGGAGTTGTCCTGGCCCGGCGCTGCGGTGGTCTGTTGGACGCCTCCTGCGCTTCTGGACCCCCAGATGCGGCTGGTGTGCCTCGGCGGCCGCTGGCCGCGCCGACCGCGCCGGCGCCCGCCGCCGCGCGGGCGCGCCCGCGAGCCACGCCGGCACCGACGCCGGCCAGCCCCTCAGCAGCACGGACGCGGCCACAGCCAGCGCGGCGGCGACCGCCGCGCGGCCGCCCCTGGCGCGCGGCTACGAGCGCGCGGCGAGGGCCACGGGCGGACGCCGAGGACCGCCCAGGGCCGCCGAGGCCCTGCCGAGGGCCCGCCGAAGGCCACCGAGGGGCCGCCGAAAGGCCTGCCGAGGGCCCGCCCGCCTCGGTCGGCCGCCCGGGCGTGCCCGCGCGTCCCAGCGGCGCCCCGCGGGCATCGCCCCGCGCCGCTCCGCCGCCGGGGGGGGGGGGCCTGCCCGCGGCAGCGGGAGCCCTGCCGCGCACTGCGCGGGGGGGGAGCCGCGCGCGGGAGCCCTGCTCCTGCGGGCCGAGTCTGCGTGTCCTCCCTCGTCTGCGCCGTCTGAGAGGAGAGGAGTCAGCACGGTCATCGGGCCATCGTTGCCGTCGTCCTCGTGGCGATCGTTATGCAGAACCCGAAGTGGGCTCGAGATCTCTACTCGGCAGGCTCCAGAATATGAGAAGAACTCGTTTCTACGCCTGGGCACCGGACACGTATCAAGGCGGACGACGAGAAGGGGGGTAGCAAAGATGGATTAGCGAATCAGCTCACGCAACCGGTTTCCCTGGCGACAGAGACGCCGATGCAGCGAGGAAAGCGCCCGCCAGCAGGGCCGAAACCAGCTGCATATAGCAGATGTCGCACCCCTCCTTTTTTCTCGAAATCCCCTCCCCCCCTCGTCCGACCCGAGCGTATGGGTAACATGGGTGCAGGCATCGCTCGAGTTCTGAGCCCCCGCGGGTGCTCGGGGCATAGGCTCGGAAAAGGCAGGGAACGCCCCTGAACGTTAGTCCCCGGTCCTCAACCCTCCTGTTCCTCTCCCGAGGTGGAGGAAGAGGAACAGGAGGGAAGCAGTAGAATCGACGAAGGCAGGTGTAGGTACGAAAGCCAAGTCGAGCGAGTCAGAGGACCCCGTCCACTCCCACCCTCCCAGCCTCCCTCCTACAACCGAACAACAGACTGTCCTCATCTTGAGATTGAGATTGCTCCCACCCCGCAAGCACGGAAGGCTCTCCCGCGCGGCACCGCTTCCGACGAATCGGCGAAAAGGGAATTACGCGTGCCGCACAGGGGCGGGACCGGCAAAACTGCCCATGGGCGCGGCGAGGAGGAAGCACGCGCCGCGCTGACACAGCACTGCTTTCATAGGGGAACGAAGATTGATATAAACATAAAAACTCGGAGGTCCGCGCGGGTTTCTCGGACTCGCGCTGGGCCCCCCTGGCGGCGCCTCCGGCGCCGCCCCTGGCGCGCTCCGCGCGCCAGGGAAGGGAGCCTGGCGCCGATCCGAGAAATCCGCGCAGACCTCCCAGTTGTTATGTTTGTGTCATTGTTCGCTCCCCCTGTGCCACTCACAAGCTGCGCGGAGCTTAAGCGAGGCCGGTATTTCTCCTGCTCTCGCGCGGCCCCGCTGCCGCTGCCCCCGCGCATGCGATTCGGAAGACGAAGCACTGGCCGCGCCCGCACGGGAACGCCACTTCCGAGAGAAAATGCACACGGAGCTCGGGCAAGGGCGGGCCCCAAGAAATTGGCGAGTGAAAAATGTGCGCCGCGTCGAGGCGGGAGCCCCACTTTCTGGCGAACTCTGCGCGGCTCCGAGGCGAGAGCGACATGTTCGTCCGCACGCGCGTCGACGAAGTTGCGTGCGAAAAAGGCGCGCCGCGCCCAACGGGAGCTCAGTTCTCTAGAAAAGTGAGCGCGGCGCCGAGCCGAGAGCGACATTTCTGCCTTTCGCGAGGGATGCGCGCCGCGTCCCACTTTTGCCACGCATTTTGCAGAGTCGACGGCAGAACGCCAATGCTAAGACGAACAATACTGATTTCCCTTGTTTGTTTGAAAAGTAGGATAGGACCTCCCGCATCCGGTTGCCATCGGCCGGCAAGGCGGCAGAGTAGGAGTGTATACCAATAAAGAATCCGCAACCGTGCCTACACGGAGGCGTGTTAGAATACTCCTCTGTTCCCTCTTTGAGGTTTTTCTGCGTTCTAGGGCCCCCCCCCTCTCACCGCGCGCGGTGTTTGAAGATCGCCCCCCCTGAGCTTGCAGCCTGGCGCTCGTCTCGGCCTCCAAACGGCCAAGATTGCCTCCAAGACTGCTTGCGAGACAACCAAGACGACATCAAAACGGTTCAAGATGGCCCAAGACGGGCCAAAAGGCTCTCACGACAGAATCAAGACGGCCCAAGCGGCCCCCAACACGGCCCAAGAGGGCTCCGAGAGGCCCTCCAGGAGAACCCAAGCATGCAAATACCATTGAGTGTTCTTGAGTTGTTGAAGGACTTGGAGATTCTCGCCGACTTGGGTTTCCGACCACTCAAGACGGCCCAACAAGCCTCCAAGAGGCCTCCAAGATAGCTCCGAGGCAACCCAAGAGGCACCCAACAGGGGCCCCAAGTCGGCCCAAGAGCACCAAAAGATCACCCAAGGGGCTCCCAAGATGGCCCCAAGATTGCCCTGAAGCGTTCCAAGAGCACCAAGACGGCCCAGAGAGGCCCCTAAAAGGGCCTCCAAAGGCGTCAGACGGGCCAAGAGTCCCCCAATACGGCCCAAGAACCCCCAAGAGGCCCTCAAGAGGCCCCAAGAGGCCCCCACGAGGCCTTCAGGAGGCCCTCAGGAGGCCCCCAGGAGGCTCCAAGAGAGCTCCAAGAAACCTTCTCCTACTCGTCCTCATTTTCTCCGCGCGAACGAAGACGCAGTCGAGATCAAGACCCTACCCAATTCAGACCAATCCCTGAATTGCCACGGGACGTCAACTTGGCAACCCTCCTACCGCGCGGACGGAGACAGTCTCGAGTTCACGACCTGCCCCAGTTCAGACCACTCGTTGGAACTGCGCTGTTCCTATCTCCTACTTGCTGCGCTATAGCACACGCGCGGCGGTGGGATTTGCTGGAGGCTGAGAAAGGGAGGAGGAGGAAGAGGAGGAGGAGCAGCGGGAGGAGGAGGAGGGCAAGGAGAGGCGCGCCGCCTCCGCCTCCTCGCTGGCTGGGCGAAGGCTTCGGCCCCGCCTCGGAGCGCGTCGGGCTGGCGGCGGGGGGGCTGCGCGCGTCCTTCTTCAGCAGCAGCGCCCCCTCGATCTTGACGGCGTCCTGCAGGGCGGAGGGATGTCACGAGGGCCGGGCGGGAGGGATACCACATATCAATGACACGCTGCTGTCGGGAACGAGATTTCAGCATCGTCCTGTCGTCCAGGACCGCGACCCAGAACCCTCCGAAGAGACACCAAACACATCCATGAGGACTCTCACCCACAAGCGGCAGCAACGCCGACCAGGAGCGCCGCATGGCCCACGAACGCGCACGCAAGCGCCAACGATGGCACAATAAGGGCCAGCGGAATGAGCGAAGCGATCAATCATACATATCAGTGACACGCTGTCGCCGGGAGCCTGTCAGCGTCAGCGTGTTGTTCCTTCGCGCTTGTCCGAAAGCCGGGTGCTTCTTCCACAACAGCACGCTGACTGGTGCCCCACGGCGGCGTGCCGCTGGTATTCTGGTTCGGCTCGGAAAAAAACGATCACAGCCAGCGGTAAGGGTCGAGCAGGAGGGTGCCAGGCACGAGCCAGGTGCACCCTCGAACCGCGAGCGAGGCGGACAACATGACGAGCACGCCCAGAACCCAGGGGAGGCCGGGGCGCCTGCCCCGCAGGCTCTCATCCCTGGGGCTGGTTTGGGCAGCAGGGAGGCGGCGGGCGAGGGGCAGGAGAAGGCTTCTACATCCCCGCTCGAAATCGAACGCAATTTTCCCGCGACATGGTGACGCCCCCGGGCCCCCAACTTCAATGTTGATGCCGATACTGGCGATTGCAGTTTTTGGTTGACCCCGCGGGCCGCGCTGCGCGCGTCCATGAACATTGAAATCTGGGGGCGAAGGGGTAGGATCAAACTTTGCATTTGATTTCGAGGGGGGGTAGGATTCCAGGTTGGCCTCGAGCGCGCGCGCGCCCACGAGGTGGTGTAGTGGCGCGAGGTCCAGAGGCAGAAGGGAGAGAAGGGCCTCCACCGACGACGAAGGGCGACGAGGGCGCACGGCACGACGCCGAGGGGGCAGGAAGAGGAGGGCGAGGAACACGGGGAAGTACGGATCCTCCCGGTGCCCGGCCAAGAAGTGTCCACACCCATAGCGATAAGGCGATCGGTCCTGCGGGAGAGTCTGGAAGCGCCCTCCGAGGAACTTCCCGAGGCATTCGAAGACCTCTGGAGGAAAGTCGGAGGGGGACGAGCGGCTTGGACGTATTTTGATGATCGAGGCTACGGGTTGAGATCGCTGCTGCCGTGGAGGGCAAAGATGGCGCTCTCCAGCTCACATCCTTAGGAGAGGGGCACAGCGTGACGGAGGGGGCCAACGCGCCTCACCTCCTACGCCTCTGGATTACGTGCTACCGTGCCGAGTGCCCCTCGACCGGCTCTGTTCGGCGGGGGCTGCCGTGATGACTCGCTGGTGCCGCGGCCGCTGAGAGGCAGCCACCACGTCCAGCATAGGGCTGGCGGCGCGCCCGAGGGGGGGAGGGCCAAGGGGAACGATCTTCCAAGACGGGATCTCTCTACGCCTGCCGGCCTCGCAGACGGGCACCCCGCCTCGCAGAAGCGCTGCTGCCCTCTCGAGGGCCTTCTCTCAGAGGCCTCTGCGAAGGGGGCGAGTACTGAGGAGCCCTCGCCAGAAGGCCCCACAACCTCTCCCGACGAGCGCCGCCGACGCGCTGATCCTCGCCCCGCCTCTCGCGCGCCGCCGAGCGACGGAGGAGAGGAGGCCCCCCGCGCGAGGGCGCGGCGACCTCCCGCGATGGCAGTCACAGGCCGCCGACGCGGCACGCCACGCGGGAAACAGAAAGCGCTCACGCGCTGCCTCGCTCGACGATCCTCAGTGAGGAGTGCTAACAACCAACGTGTGCCTGCCCACTGAAGCCCTGCGATACGACGCAGGCGGTGCAACGAGGGCCGACACAGGCTGCGCGCTACCGGCGGAGCCGAGCGGGGAAGGCAATAACTGGACTAACACGCGTTCGGAGGGTCATCGCCTCACGAGGGCAGCTCGCGCACGAGTGTGCCGCGCAGCCGGCCCCCTCTGCCTGCCTCGCCAGAACTGGGCCGCTCGAAACGCCCACTGCCCAACGGCTGGTGGGCTCTCTGGCGGTCGGCCTGCCTCGCCCCGGCATGTGTGGGCGCCACCGTGTCGGGGCCAGCGAGCCTCGGAGCACATCGCCCGCTCACCGCGGGGCCGGTCACTCGCAGTAGGCCACCTGCCCGGTGACGATCCTCCAGAAGCCCTCCGTGGTGAGGCAGTTCTTTCGGAAGCTGACGAGCCTCGGGGAGAGCTCGTCCCACCACTCGTCGAGCTTGGGCTTCGTGATCTCCGACCACTGGTCGAGCACGACCATGGGCCACCCCAACTTCTTCAGGTCGTCGAAGGCCGGCTCCGTCTTGAAGCCCCGGGCAGAACCCTCGCGGGTGGAGATGGGGATGGTGAGCACGAGCAACGCCTCGTCATTCTTCGGTGACTGGATGCCCCCTCCACGTGGGGAGAGGGTGAACCTGTACTTGGCAAGCTCCGACCAGTACTCCCTCGGCTCGAAGGAGGCGTGCTCGACACCGGCGGCAATCGACCCTGGGGTGCCCACCCACTCATGCAGCTTCCTGCGCGCTGGGACCTGGGCGTCCAAGTTTGGATGGAACTTGCCCCAGGCAGCCAGCACCCCCTTCGACTTGCCCTCCAAGGTGGCAGAGCCAATGGCCTTCTCGGCGACGTCCCACACGGGCAGCAGGTACATGCCGTTCAGGCCGTCTGGTGCAACCTTGAACCCAGGCCGCCGAACGTCGTATGCCTGCCACCAGATGCCGCCGGGAAAGGCAGCACGCAGCCTCTGCAAGGTGCCCTTGCCGAAATTCTTGTCCAACCTACTAAGCATCATGTCTCCCGTGAAATAGGCGACTCGTTTCCTCTTGTTCTGGGGCCACTTCGTCTCCAGCACTGTTAACATCGCTGGGACAGCCTGGAGATCCATTGATGAGAAGACAGCGTACGGGTTCTTGCCTTTGCTGACGTTCTGGATGTCCCGCTTCGTGTGGATAATCCAATCGAACTTCTTCGGGAACCCATCCGGACCAGGCGAGCGAGTGCAAGGGTACTTCTTGATAAAGTTGAGGTATCCAGACCTGGACCCGGCCATCTGAAAGTCATCGACCTGGTAATTGTAGTCCGCGGAGTGCTTGACCGCCCCCTGCTGCTCGGGCATGCTGGAGCCCTCATCGCGAGGCCAGGACTTGCGTAAAGGCTGCGTTCACCGCTTGGGGAACCGATGTACCAGGACCCCCAGGGGGGGCGGTAGATATGAAGCTGTTCAGGGCCCGAATCTACTCGTGTCCACCGCCTCCGGAGGTCCAGGGAGTAAGATGCGGCTCCCCGGGCGGCGGATACATCGCTGGATGGCCAGCTGAGACAACGGCGGCTCTCCCGCCCGGCCAAGATCCTCATCCGCTCAAAATCGGTCCACGGACCCCTCCTGGGCTCGAGGGGGATCCAGGCGTGGCGACGAGAAGCCTCCCAGAGGCCCAAAGCGGACGCAAAACGCCGGGCAGGGCCGCCGTGTTCTCGGCGGGCCCTTTCTTTGCCCACCCAGACGTGCGACGCTCTGACCCTTTCTGTACGGCGCCCCCGGACGTACCCCGACACTTTCCCCGGAGCCGGCATTTCGCCATGAGCCGCTTCTTAGGAGGAGGAGGAGGAGGAGGAGGAGGAGGAGGAGGGGGAGGAGGAGCAGGAGGAGGAGGGCCCCAGGGCCCGCTGAAGGCCCCCAGAGGCCGACCATGGCGAAAGACGGGCCGCTCAACTGCTTCTAAGACGCGAGCACGTCTGGGCTCCACAACCTCCCCGCCTCGGCGTCGTGCCCGGCGCCACTGTCCGTCTCGAGCTGCAGGGCCGCCAGTGCCCGGCCCGTCGCCTCACGCTATTGCTCGGACGTCAATTCTAGGGAAACGAACTCTATACACCGACGACGCTTTTTCCGACTCTGCGTTGTTTCCCTTGGAAAACGGGGGGAAAACGGGACACCACCCCGACGTCGTCCCCGACCCTCGAAAAGTCGTGGGATCGAAAAAACATCCCGCCACTGGTAGTGTATATGCTCCTGTTTCCGACATTCCCCGCGCATCGTTCGGCTCCGCGCGAGCTCTGTCTCAAGAGATGGACAAAGATGCTCCAAGATGGTCCGGATTGCCTGGCGCTGGCCTTGCCGACCGACTTGAGATGGCCAGGAGGTCTGAGCTGGATGGCCCTGGCGAAAATCAGTCATCGGGGAGGAAGAGGAACAAATCCGCTCCACATAGGTCCCTGGACCCCTCCCAGTCCTGGTGCAATTTTTCACCCTGGATCCGTTTTGACCGTTCCGGGGCACGATATAGGCCCACGGGGGCCGCAAATCGCAATGCAAAACACTCCCCCGAGCCAAAAACCTCGAACCTCGCCCCCCTTCCTGCTCGCCGGAACCAGTGCTGGGCCACCTCAGGCCCCAAGCCGGCTCCATCAGCTTCCGAGCGATGCCCAGTCGCTTGCGGCAACTCCATGCTACGATCAGCCTTCAGATTCAGGCGCTTCGCGCCCGCCATGCGATCGTGCGATCGGGAGAGCATCCGAGGGAGCAGGGGCCCTCCGAGCAGCCCGCCCAGCCTCTACAGAGGCCTCCCGTAGGAGCCCCAGAGTATTTCTGCGAAGGCCCCTCTGCCTCCTCCTCCTCCATCCTCCTCCTCCTCCTCCTCCTCCTCCTCCCCTCCTCCTCCTCCTCCTCCTCCTCCTCCTCCTCCTCCTCCTCCCTCCTCCTCCATCCTCCTCCATCCTCCTCCATCCTCCTCCTCGTCCTCCTCCTCCTCCTCCTCCTCCTCCTCCTCCTCCTCCTCCTCCTCCTCCTCCTCCTCCTTCTCCTCCACCTCCTCCTCCTCCTCCTCCTCCTCCTCCCTCCTCCTCCCTCCTCCCTCCATCCTCCCTCCTCCCATCCTCCTCCTCCATCCTCCTCCATCCCCTCCTCCTCCTCCTCCTCCTCCTCCTCCTCCTCCTCCTCCTCCTCCTCCTCCTCCTCCTCCTCCTCCTCCTCCTCCTCCTCCTCCTCCTCCTCCTCCTCCTCCTCCTCCTCCTCCTCCTCCTCCTCCTCCTCCTCCTCCTCCTCCTCCTCCTCCTCCTCCTCCTCCTCCTCCTCCTCCTCCTCCTCCCCCTCCTCCTCCATCGCCAGTGCTGCGAAGTTAACCGAGTCGGCCTGCTCCCCGCCCACCCTCCGAGCGGCCTCGTCCCGCCGCCCGCGCAGCGCCCTCCTCCCCGGGCCCGGCCCCGCGCCGCGGCCCGCCGCCCTCTGGTCCTGGCCGAGGGGGCGCCCACAGATGCACGCGCCGGCCCCTGGCCAAGGCGCCATCCTGGGCCCGGGCGCGGGGCCTCTCGAGATCCGAGGCTCCGGCCAAAAGTCGGAGCAGGCGAAGACGAAGCCAGGACGAGGGCAGAGAACCTGGTGGGGGCGAACCGAGGGTCTCTGAGATTCGGCGGCTCTGGAGGACGTCTCGGGCGCCGCGGCCTTCTCCGCACGTTCCGACACGCTCTGAGAGCGTTCCGGAACGCTCTGGAACGGATTTCTCCTCGTCCTGGCCCTGCTGCCCGACGGACGGTTCTTGGGGCGATCCTCGGCCTCTGGGGGCCCTCCGCCGGCCACGGGACCGTCCAGAGACGACCCGGGGATGCAAACCTGGCCCTACGTCGTCCAGACCCTCCGGGGACCCACGCATGGAACAAAAATTTAGCGTGGCGGCTTTTTCACACCAGGCATTTCCGCCCGGTCTCGGGCCCGGGGCCACCCCAGGTCGACTCGGCCCAAAAAATGCGGCAGAAAGATTTCGAAATTGCACTTTTTCGCTATCTCGGATCTCGGCGCCCGCGTGAGCGGAACACTGACCCTGGCGAGCTTGCCCGAAGGCGCTTCACGGCGCAGCCACGGCTGAAGCCGAAGCCAAAGCTGAGGTGTACAGAGAAGTCGAACGGGGCCACCCTGCAGGTCTGGCCGACACCACAGCGTTGAGCGGCGCTGCAGTCTCCCATGGGCACCCCCCACCCCCCGAAGATCGACCAAACAAGTCGGGTCTGCTCATGCCTCGCTGGACTCTGGGCGCTCTTCGGCACTGCCACTGCCGCAGCATCGGCGCGGAGTCGGAATCGGATCGAATCGGCCGCGACAGGATGCACAACAGCGCCACTCAAGCATCGGGATGCGTCGGATCGTCGGAATATCGGAATCGAGTCGGATCGGGCCCGCCCCGCCGATGCCGAATCGGATCCATCGGAGCGACGTGGACCCTGCAGGATCGGCCTGTACCCCATTCGTGGCTGAGCCCAGGAGGGCACGCACGCCGCACCTGGATGGGCCTGGCCAGGGCCCCCTGCAAAAGTGAGCAACGGGCGCCGCCCGATCCTCATGCCCGGCGGCACCTCCGTGGTGGGCCCCTCGGCCGGGTCTGCTGCTCGCGGCGGAGGAGCTCAGGACGAGGAGGGAGGGGGGCGCGGAGGTAGGGGAGGGAGGGGCGCCCGCATCCGCCAGGCCGCGATAGTAGAACACCGTGCCACTCCCCTGGCAGTACCTGTCGAAGGTGTCCCTCCGCTGCTCGCAGGCGGCGGAGCTCCCGGCGCCGCGCCCGTCCTGGAGGACTCATACGGCAGGACCAAGGACAGAACAACATCCTTCAAGAGCATGCGACCCTCCGATGGCCAAACATCCCAAATCATAAGATCACCGTGGGTGCACTTCCCTAGGATGCACAAGGACATACGACATACGACAAGCACGAAGAACGCTAGGGTCCCCTCCCCGAACCGACCTCGATCTTATACTTCGGTCCGAACTGCCGGGAGGCTGGTAACACACACGCGCGGCAAGACTCGCGTGTGGAAGGCTCGGAGGCCATGCGCTGGATCCACGCGTGCGGAGGCCCGGGGCGCACCCGACCACGCACGGGCCCAGAGCTGAAGAGACATCAGCCCACATGAGCCCTGACCTTCCAGGAGGGTTAATCGGTAGCACCAGGACCCACGGGTCGGGGGCCTGGGTGGGGGGTCCCGGGGAGGATCCCAGGGAACGAGCCCAGGGTTTGTGGCTCCTTGGGAGAGGCTTCTCCTTCGATTTCTTGCCTCTCAGACGCCTTGGGCTTACTTGCACCGCGGCTTGATCCAAGAGAGCCCTGAACCAGCCCAGGATCGCTGCAAGACGGCCCAAGATACCCTCGAGACTGCCTCAGACGCCCCCAGGACCCTCAAGAGGGCTTCAAGAGGAGCCCCAAGAGAGCCCCAAGTGGCGCAAATCAATGATCGTCATCTAGTTGTCATGTTTTCTGCATCCTCGCCTTTTCAGGCTCCCGACGCGTCAAGACGGTCCAGAAAGCCGCCAAAATCATCCCAACAGGGTATCAGAGGCTGCCGAAAGCGCTCGAAAACGGCCCAAGAAAGCCCCGAGACCACCTAAGAGGCCCCCAAGACGGCCGAATAGGACCCCAAGAGGGCCCCAAGAGGCTCCCGAGAGGAGGGACACCAACCGAAATTCTTGAGACTTCCGCCCGAAGAGGCCAGCAGGCCCCAAGAGGCGCGCGAGAAGCACCCAAGAGAGCCCCAAGAGGCCCAAGAGAGCCCCGAGAGCACTCCCAAGACAACCCCAAGAGGGTAAAATCAATAATGTTCCTTAATGTGTTGAATGTTTTCCGTCGTCACCGTCGCCGTCGTCGCCGTCGCCGTCGCCGTCGTCGAGGTCATCGTCGTCGTCGTCGTCGTCGTCGTCATCGTCGTCATCGTCGTCGTCGTCGTCGTCGTCGTCGTCGTCGTCGTCGTCGTCGTCGTCGTCCCCCTTCAGGGTCGGCGGCACTGGCCGTAATGCCTGCGCCAGGACTTTTGATTGTGCATATCTTAGTCGAGGCCTTCCGCAGTCCTCACAGGTCTCTAACTAGGTCTGAAGGGATACACCTATGGCAGAGCCTGGGTGCTCAGGGTGGGTCTCCTAAGACGAAGCCAAGACGAGGATCAAATCGGGTGCAGGCAAATAGATAGTCTCTGAGATCTGGCAGCTCTAGAAAAAATCTCGGGCGCAGCGGCCTTCTGAGAGCATTCCGGAACGCTCTGAGAGCGTTCCGAACGCTCTGGAACGGATTTCTCCTCGTCCTAGCCGCGCCGGAAGTCTCCAGCTCTCGCCAAGGCTGGCAAGCGTCGTCAGTACATGTCTTTCTTCCGGAAGGGTCCGCACGCGTTTTTTAGCTGGGCGCTGCCCCCTTCACGCCCGCACTCTTGCACTGCGGCGCCGGGGGCACCGCCAGGGTTGTGGGCGAGGGAGCTCAAGAGGAGCAAACAGCTGCATAAACGTAGCCGTCCGGAGGTCCGTGCTGTTCTCTTGGCTCTGGGTTCTGCGCAACTTGTCGGAGGTAGATCCAAAGGGGTCCAGCGACCAAGAAATCCGCGCGGACCTCCAACAGTTTATGCTTATGCAATGTTTTGCCTAAACCCGACCCTGGAGGAACAAACATGTACCCATGCATGTACCGATACTTGCTTCTTCCTGGACCTCTCCCTGCGCGCATTCTGGCCAGAGCTCCGAAGCAAACCTGGTGGTGGAGACGAGGGCCCTTCCGGGAGGCCCACAGAGTCAGAAAAACGAGGGAGAACATCAACATACGCTCGGAAATTCAAAATTTATATCTGTGCAGCGATTGGGGTCTCATGCGGAAAATCCGCTGTCGAGCCCGCGCGGGATGGGCGCGTTGGAATGCCCGACTATTGCCTGGAAGCTTCCCCGAAGAAACTGACCCACAACCCAAAAACCGTGGCGGGATGGGCCGAACGCCACTCGATATTTGAAAGTGTGGGAGCCCGCACACAGTCATATCCTCGTCCTCCTCATGCTTCTCCCTCTCCCCCATCCTTCTCCTCCTCCTCCTTTCCGCATCCTCCTTCTCATGATCGTCGCCCTCTTTCTTGCTCTCCTCCAAGCCCTCCTTCGGCGGATTCGGTACGTGCAGCGCCATTGCAGTCCATCTCCAAAGTGGTCACCCAAACGGGCCTCGCCTGCAGGACTTACAGGGTTGACGGATGTGGCGCCGGCCTGTAGAATTCAGAAACGGTTGCCTGCGCAGCGCTTTGGCCGTCTGTCGCAGCGGTCGGGCCAAGATCCGTTCAGGATCGGCCCCATAGGGGCCCTCCCTGTACCACCCTGGCCAACTCTCCGAACCGCGCCTGACCCAGGCGACGCGAAGTTCCAGAAGCGTCGAAAAACCTCCTGACCTGGAACAACAAAACACATTAGCCTGACGAAAGACCCAACTATACGCAGCTGCGAGAACCGCAAGGGAGATGATACGAAGGAGGGGAGCGCACGCGGTATAACCTCTGATCTCATAGGCAGCGCGCCGCAGGAAGAACGAGGCGCGGGGCAGTGCGGGCAAGGGGGGACAAATGGTTGGGACGTATGCGGACTTCTGGTGGAGCTCCCCATGGGTCACGAAGCGTGTGACAGGTGTGCCGAAATGGGCAGGGGGGGCGCATGCGATCGTCGCCGCTGGGGCCTTCGGTGGAGCTCCCTATCGGGCTACGAAACGTGTGGGGGTTGGTCGGACGCATGCGAACGACGCCACTGGGGCCTTAGGTGGAGCTCCCGATGGGGGGCACGAAGCGTATGAAGGGTGTGTCGAAGTAGGTCGGACGGGCGCATGTGGCCGCGCCCGCTGGGGCCTTAGGTGGAGCTCCCTGTCGGGCCACGAAACGTGTGAAGGATGCGCCGAAATTGGCGTGGCAGATGCATGTGGCCATCCGCACTGGGGCCTTCGGTGGAGCTCCCTGTGGGGCCACGGAGCGCTGTACTTGGTGTGGCGGACGCATGTGGGCACACTTACAGGGGCCTTAGGTGGAGCTCCTTATGGGGCCACGAAGCGCTGTACTGGGTGTGACGGTGGAGCTCCCACTGGGGCCACGAAGTGCTGTACCGGGTGTGGCGGACGCATGCGGGCACCCCCACTGGGGCGTTAGGTGGAGCTCCCACTGGGGCCACGAAGCGCTGTACCGGGTGTGGCGGACGCATGCGGGCACCCCCACTGGGGCCTTAGGTGGAGCTCCCTATGGGGCCACGAAATGTGTCAGGACTGTGCCGACATGGATGTGGCGGACGCATGCGGGCACCGTTACTGGGGCCTTGGGTGGAGCTCCCTATGGGGCCACGAAACGTGTCAGGGGTGTGCCGACATGAAGGGAGTGACGGGAGGAGGGAGGAGGAGGAGGAGGAGGAGGAGGGGGAGGAGGAGGAGGAGGAGGAGGGAGAAGGAAGAAGAGGAACAGAAGGAGGAGGAGGAGGAGGAGGAGGAGGTGGAAGGGAAGGGAAGGAGGAGGCGAGGCGGAAGGAAGGAAAAAAGGAACGAATGAAGGAAGGAACGCGGGGCACTCTATTCAGAACGAGGACCCAGCACCACAAGATGGTTGGGGAGGAAAACATTGACCCAAAAAGCTCAACAAAACAAATAGCCTGACGAAAGACCAAAAGCACATGCAGCTGCGAGAACCGCGAGGGAGACGAGACGAAGGAGGAGGCCACGCAAACTCCGAATAATGCACGCGGTATAGCGTCTGCGCTCATGGGCAGCGCGCCGCAGGAAGAACGTGGCACGGGGCAGTGCAGGCGAGGGGGGAGACGAATGAGTGGGACGCATGCAAAAATTCGGTGGAGCTCTTCATGGGCCACGAAAGGTGTGACGGGTGTGCCCAACGAAATGGGCGGGGGGGGGCGCATGCGAACGTCGCCGCTGGGGCATTCGGTGGAGCCCCCTATGGATACGAGACGTGTGAGGGGCGTGCCGACATGGGTCGGTCGGACGCATGCGGACGTCGCCATTGCGGCTAAGCTGTGCTTCCTATAGGGCCACTAAACGTGTGAGCGGTGCGCCGAAATGGGTGTGGTAATCGCAAGTGGCCGCGCCCGCTGGGGCCTCAAATGGAGCTCCCTACGGAGCCACGAACCGTTCCAGGGATGCGGCGAAATTGGTGGCGCGGGCGCATGGGAACGTCGCCACGGGAACCTCAGGTGGAGCCCCCCATGGGGCCACGAACCGTGCGGTGTGTGTGTGTGTGTGCAAAAATGAATGGTATAGACGCCTGGGAACGTCGCCGCTGAGACCTTCGATGGAGCTCCCTATGGGGCCACAAACCGTGTGAGGGATGCGCCGAAATGGGTGGCGCAGACGCATGGAAACGTCGCCACTAGAGCCTTCGGTGGAGCTCCCTATGGAGACACGAACCGTGCGAAGGACGTTCCGAAATTGGTGGCGCGGACGCGTGGGAACGTCGTCACTGGAGCCTGAGATTGTGCTCCCTATGTGGCCACGAACCGTGAGGTGTGAGGGGTGTGCCAAAATGGTTGGCGCGGACGCATGCGAGCGTCGCCACTGGGACCTCAAGTGGAGCTCCCTATGGGGCTGCAACTGTGTGAAGGGTGCGCCGAAATAGGTGGCGCAGACGCATGTGAACGTCGCCACTGATGCCTTAGGTGGAGCTCCCTATGGAGCCACGAAACATGTGAGGGGTGCGCCGAAATTGATGGCGCGGGCGCATGGGAACGTCGCCGCTGGAGCTTTAGGTGGAGCTCCCTGTGGGGCCACGAACCAGGTGAGAGGTGCGCAG